CTCCAGAGGCAGTGCTGAGCCCATTACCCCCTGGCATCAAGCCCTCTGGGAACACAGGAACTCCGACTGATTTGTCTTGATCCTGCCATCCCCCACCCCGAATGCCTGGCAGAGGCCCAGGAGGCGGGTGCAGCAGTGATAGCTGAGAGGCACCAGTACCTGTAAGCAGCCCAAGCTCTGACTGAGTCTTGCTAAGTTATTCAGGTTGGCCTTGAACTTGTGATCCTTTTGCCTCAGTCTCCTGAGTAGCTGGGATTACAGGCATATGTCACTGTTCTGGCCCTGATATTTCTGCATACCATTCTATATATCTAGTGTTTGGATCTGGAATGACCCCCCAAAACTCAATATGTTAATGTCTAGGTGCCCAGCTTGGTGTTTTTTTGGTGGTGGTGAAACTTGTAAGAGGTGGGGCCTCTTAGCAGGAGTTCCCTAAGCCTATGGTTTTTCTGTTACTCCCAAACTTCTGAAAAATATGTAAATCTACTGGTAAATCGTGAATTAACCCAGTTAGGTTGAGGCTCAGACCCTGGGAAAGAGTTTTGGGATCTTAGTAGGTGAAGGAAGATGCCAGTCACAGTTGGGATAGTAGACATACTTTATTTGAAGGTGACAGCAGCCCCAAGCCCTTAGCTCCCCAAGTCATTTTCATAGGACTGTTTTATGTATAGGCCARAGAAGGCACATTGCCAACAGGTTGCATAAGTGAGTACATGCTCACAAGCAAAATGTTTATGACCTTGAGTACATACACTGAATCAGGGTTTTCATGATCTTGGCTATATACTAAAAACATAGCCCTCTGGAAGCTTTGGCAAGGGAACCTAACTATAGTGATCTTGGGCCTGCCCTACACCCCCAGTAATTAAGCAAATAAGCATCTATAATTTACTTTCYAGTGCTATCTRTTGATCTGATAATRAAGACCACATGAGCCTGAGGATCTGGAAATTGACCAAACCACTAGAACTTGTCTTGGGATCATTCAACTGTTATCACTTCTACATACCTTTCTATAYCCTCCTCACCTTCAACAAACAGGAACACCCAAAATGTGTGTCTCACTCTCAAAATGACCTACATTCCCCCTTAAAGGCATATTCCTTGTTTCATACCCAAGGGTGTCTCTTGAGAGTGCCCTCATTCTCCTCCGAATCTATTGTGTACTTTCCTACTCTATGTCTTTAACTGGTGCCTACACAATTCCTTTTCATTAATTATGCCAAGAACCCTGCCCTTCTTGAGTTGAATTYCCCTTTCTCTCCAGGAACTCCTCAGACCTTGTAGAGGGGACACCTCTTCTCCAGTGATAAAATGACTGATAAGTGTTTTCATATAAATTCCCATCTCCCTAACCCTTTGAGTGGAATAACTCTGAGGTTATATGCTTTACACTGGCTTTCAGAGTTTTTTAGTGGGAGTAAGCTCCAGTTTTCCATGATGCTAACTTTCTTGATAATAAACCCAYAGTGGATTTCTTCTCCTCCTTGACTCAATCCCTTGCTCTGCTACCAGTGTTTCCTAAGATCACCTCCATCACTGACTACTTTAACTCAGGTCCTTTCTCACAGTCTGCCTTTTAGGAAATCCAAACTAAGACTTGAATTGTCCCATGGGAATAACGAATAAATAGGAATACTCCAGTTTGTGCTCCCTACTCAACTCCTAGACTACTTCAGGCTGAGTGTGGATTCATTTTCTTTTTAGGGAATTTGACCAGCCAGAAAGAATGACGGTACAGATACTTATATCATCTGTGTCCAACTAACATCCMAGCCAGATTATCCTACAGCAAAGCTCTCAAAAAACAAGCCCTAACCTCATGTTGAGAGCTTCCGATCSGTTTTTATAGCACTTGACTCCATGTTTTTAAGGACTATTAAGTGTGAGTGAATAGTGAAGGACCATAGAYAACTAATAAGATAGAAGATCAATTTAATAGCAAAAAGCAACTGAAATGAATAGTAGGGAGAGGAAAACTTAAAAAATATATTAATATTCTCTGAAAGATATGAGAAATAAATAAATAAATAAATATGTACATGAAGCAAGAATAAAATAACACAAGAAAGGGACATTTGAAGATTAAAATAGAACTCTTCTTAAGAGTTAAAAACAAAAAAACCTCTGTAGATGTCCAAACGATAAACTCGAGGAATTCTCCAAGAAAGAGCAAAAAGACAAAGTTGGAAAACTGGAGAGTAAGATAGATGGTGCCAGTCTTTTTTTTTTTTTTTTTAATATATTTTATTTGTCAACGGACCTTTATTTATATGCGGTGCTAAGAAGCAAACCCAGTGCCTCACACATGCAAGCCAAGCGCTCTACCACTGAGCCACAACCCCAGCCCTGGTGCCAGACTTTTATATCGCTATGGGATATAAGAGATTTCACACATCAGCAGCTGATGAGAGGGTGAAAGGAAGCTGAAAACACAGTAAGCAGTTCATCTCAATAAAACACACACAATTTAGGCAGTTACACAGGAATGTGAGCGGAGGCACTGGCACGCTGCTCTCACAGGAGTGTGAAGAAATTATGCAAACCTAGATATAATGAATTTGACCGAAATTAGGAGAAAACATGAGATATTAAATGGTAGAACAGACTAAACTCCTGATAGAGCCGGTGTGTGTGGTGGGGGTTGGTGGGAGCTGTGAATCTGATATAAGAACAGATGGATCCAGTTTCKCCAAAGATCACGAATGAATTTGGACTCAACTAAGATGAGAAATGAATGAGGACAAGCCAATTACAGTGGTGTGTGTAATKGGTAGAATGCAAAGCCCATGTTCAGGTTCAGTGTTTCCTGAGATCTCACTGGGTGTCAAGTAGTGGGATAAAGTCCTTTTCTTCATATTTGGGACCAGGTGTCTGAGGATAAAAGAAAGGTGAAACACATTAAAAATGGCATACTCTTTTTGGGCACGGTGCACGGCACTAATTCCAGTGGCTCTGGTGGCTGAGGCAGGAGGATTGCCCAAGTTTAAGGCCAGCCTCAGTAATTTAGTGAGGCTCTAAACAGTTTTGCCAGACCCTGGAGAGGTGGAGAGGTGGTTAGGTGGTTAAGCGCCCCCAGTTTCAATCCCCAGTACCCCCAAAAAACAAAAATAAAATTATAGTAAAAGGCACAACCAGTGCCTGGAGAAATGGGGGGGGGCGGTGGTGAGTGAGTGCGCAGGCTATTTGGTGAAAACTTGAATACATGTTAGTGCTTATCGGATTCTCGGGGTTGCCTCGCGTGGTGAACGAGTCACGGAAAAGTCAATGAGACCACGCCGAAGTCCCGGATGTTGGTCTCGATGTGGGCATGGAAGACCCTAGCTTTCTAAACTTCCAGGCGGTGCAAAAGAGGCCTGATACGCATGCGCCTACCCGTCCTGGCGCTCAGTCGAAGGCGGCGGGAAGTTGGTTTTCCGAGCAGGAACTGAGCAGCATGAAAAAGGATTGGAGATGACGGACCAATAAACAGACGTCTCATTGGCTTAGCGTTCTCAGACTYCCAATCCTTTAGCTTCCCATTGGGCCTTTTAAGCAGGGCAGGGGCGTGACTGTCGGGGCTCCGCCCCGCGCCTCGGCCCAGCCTCGGGGTCCTGGGCTGAGGAAGCGGGACGGAAGTGAACGGGTCCCGCCYCTTCCCCCTTGGCTTTCGTCGGAGCTGCAGCCGCTGCCGCCACCGCAGCCCGCTCTCCGGCTAGCCGGAGCCTCTTTTCTGTACCCTTGGTCCCCGGCCGCGCGGAGCCGGGATGCACTGCTCCTGCTGTGGGTCCTCATCATGGAGACCAAACGGGTGGAGATTCCTGGCAGCGTCCTGGACGATCTCTGCAGGTACTGCGCTGCCGCCGGTTTCTTCTCAGGGTCGCCAACCCCCGGGCGTCCTCCGCGCGCCCGCTTGAAGGTCCTCGCTTTCCTCTCCCGCCGCCGTCAGCTCTCCACCGCCGACTCTTCCCCGCCACCGCCCCCTCTCCGTTTCTGCCGCAGCCTCCCTGTTTCTCACGGCCCCCATCCTCCCGCGCTGAGCACGCAGTGTCTGGTTTTCTCMGTATCCGCACGGGTTTCGCTTTCTCGCAGTTGAAGCCGCTCGTCCAGAACCAGAGTTTTCTTTAGCATATTTTCGGCCCATTTCTGTCTCTCTCTTTTGGTTGCTGACTTTCACACACCGTTTCTCCTCCCTCCGTCCCATTTTCTGAATCTGTAGGAAGCCCCCAGTGTATTGTTGGGTCGTAGGGTCTCTGGTACCTGGACCCATGGCAAGGAGCAGTTTTGAAACTTAAAAACCTTTCTTCTGCATATTCGTCTATGTCCGTGGMATTCTCTATACATTCCTAAAAATAATTTCTTATTCTCTCTTTCCCAGGACTTAAAAATCTTCGAGAGGGAGAGGGGGAAAAGTCGAGAGCTGCTTTTCTTTTCATCCCTTAATTATCTTACTTGAAAGGAAATTCTCATTCGCAGGGTTTTAACTCGGGGTACGTACACTTTCCCAGGAGAAATTTTGTGCATTCTTTCTTGTCAGCTGTGGTTTCGGATAACCAAACACGTGTAAAATGTACTTAAAATACTTCTTTGAAGTAAAATTTTATGGTAGTTAAGCGAGTTGTCGTCCAGAGATGTGGATTGTGAAGTCATTTGGATTACGAGTGAGTAAAAGCTCTGRTAAACACTTATGTACTTTTAATTATTGTACTTGTGTTTAAAGGTCAGACTCAGTGGTGTCGCATTCACGCTAATTTTTTTTTTTAAATGCCAAGGAAAGTTTGTGGAGTTTCTGCTGTGCTAGGTATTGGATGCTCCCTTCACATTTATCATTTTATTTAATTCTCGAAATAACCCTTTTTTGATAGGTGAAGTAATTTTCCATTTGTTTTCCAAACATGCAGAGACTTGGTAATTTAAACACGGTCACATTCATCTTAATTCAGAAAATCAAGATTTGAAACCTGTGCCTTTTCTTTTTCCAATAGTACCTGTGCTTTTTTCCCCGTACCAAGTCCAACATTTTGCACTTCACAAAAGTATACGTGAAGAGTAAGTAAACTAATTTGCAACTAATAAGAATGTCATGTGATGGAAGATTTATATTTTTTGAAATATGATAGATGCAGATGACCTTTAAAAGTTAAAAAAAAATGCTTTCTATGATCCCAAATTTGGTAAGAGAATTTGGTACATTTATTTCTATGAGGAGAAGTGCCCAGAAGATCATGAATCAAAAGTGAGATAATAGGATTGTGATCTTCATTTTCTTCATGTTACCAAGATTTTTTAAAGGATGTTCATTTTACAGATAGAAAAAAATTAGAGAAGAGTATTTGGAAAGGTGAGCAGTTAATTGTATGTGGGTTAATAGAGGTAAAAGTTGATTTAGTTAGGCATCTAAACTAGTCTTCCTACCAGTATTGCGGTTCATATGGCCATTACGTGGGATTAAATCATTTAAAGAAGTGATAGGTCACTATGATTCTATGTATGGAACCTGTTCACAGAATAAATGTGTTTTGTAAATAGAAGGTTAAATATCCCTCAAGTGTTAAATACAGATAGTTGATTTTCCAGTGAATGTATTTAAGCTATTTTCTTATACAACTCTTTGGAATGGTTTTAATTAAAAAAAGTTTTTTTAAAAAAACAATTACTGTTTGGATATATAAATAAAAATGTAATATATTAACAAAAAATTAGGGCTAACTAGTCTATAAACTAGTGACAAAACCAAATGGCCATTTCTTAATATTTCAGGTTTTAAAAATAATGCTTTTTGAAATGCTTTTGAAAGTTAGTATTTATACCTTTGTTGATGAATTTGAAGATGTTTTTATGTTAATAATTCAAACTTTTGATTGTGGTTTTAAAATAAATTTACACTTAGAATTTAAAATTTTTCTGGGCTTTTTTTTGTTTGTTTCCTTTTTGGAATCAAGAATTAAACTTGGTGCATTTAACCATGAGCCACATCCTCAGTCCTTTTTATTTTTTGAGACAATCTTACTAAGTTGCCATATATATAAATATAAATAAATATATAAATATATTTATATATATGGCTTTAGTTTGTTTACTTATTTGTATGTGTTGCAGAGGATCAAACCTAGTGCCTCACACATGCTAGGCAAGCGTTCTACCACAGAGCCATAACCCCAGCTCTTACTAAGTTGCTTTTGGCCTAAGTTGCTGAGGCTGGCTTTGAACTTGCAATCCTCCTTCTTAGCTTTTAGAGTCGCTGGGATGGACCATGCCCAGTTCTTAGATACCTCCTGAATTATAAATTCAAACCCCATTCTGTTCCTTAGCATTAGAGTGTTTTTTTGCAATTTATTATTTATTTTGATGACATTCTCCTGAGAATCTTGCCTACTGTAGCCATTGCCACATATTAATAAATTTYGGAGAAATGTGAAATTTGGAAGTTGATTTTAATGTAAAAAAAAGTAGAGGAAACTTAAAATTTCAAAATGTGATCATGTAACCATTAGTCTGCTTACAACATAAGATATGGAATGTTATCTTTCAGATACCTTAATTGCAGCATTTCATTTACTGGAATACTGTGCAGCCATTACAGATTCCTAAAGCAATTACTAAATAGTAAACTGAAGGAGTGTGTTTGTATGGTGGAAGACATACATATCATACCATTGAGTGTAATACTTTTTAGTAATTAAATGCCTTTGCTTAAAACAAAATTTTAAGAATGTGTGTGTGTGTGTATTTGTATACACAGGAAATATCTGAAAAGAATTTCTACTACGCTGTAATTTTTGGTTTATTTCTGAGTGGAGTGGAGTTAGAGGAAAGGAAGAGAAGACTCCTCTTAAAATGTTCTAGGGGCAAAAATCACCTTATAATTATAAGTATATATAAAGGTAAAATAAATCAGCATTTTATGATTGATACTTGCCTTTGATACACCATGATTTTTGACATTTTAAAGTCAAATACAAAAAACAAGTCAAATAGTTTTTAATACCACATAAACTAGAATTAAAACTGCTTATAAAGAATTGAAAAGCATGTTTTAAAAATGAAAACTGGAGTTTGATAAGTTGTTTCCTTTTGAAAAAAATTCTTGAATTATTATTTTTATTTTTTGTACCAGCTAATGAACCCAATGTTGCTTACTTAACCATTGAACCACATTCTTAGCCYGTTTTTATTTATCTTTTATTTTGAGACAGGGTTTCACTAAGTTGCTGAGGGCCTTGTTAAGTTGCTGAAGCTGACTTTGAACTTAAGATTCTTCTGCCTCAGCTTCCCAAGCTACTGGGATTATAGGCATGTGCCACCTTGCCTGGCTGGAATTTTTTTTTAAAAGCCCCTTTAAAATTAGACGGCAAGGCCAGTCTTCTGTTAAAAGGGAAACTAATGTTGCCATTATTTTGGAGATAGCATAGGTTAATTAGTTAGCCATTTTAGTGTTGAATTCTGAAACTTTTCTTCTAGCTAATCGCAATCCTCATACTACTGTTTCTATAGGAAAATTGATGATAACATCTTGAGAGATAGCTTTTCTATAATAAATTGTGGAAGGCATATTATTTCCCCTAATATTATATACATATACGTACATATGCATACACTTTTAAATCTTTAAAACAGATCAACAGTATTTGCAAAATGAAAGCATTAAATATGTGTAATTTTCGTGTATCAAAATTTTCTTTTTCTTACAAACTTAATGATGTAAGCTTTCAGCTATGAAAAAGATGTAATCATGTGTATGGTTTTTAAAAATCAGTACAGTTGTATTTATAAATGAAAAGCAACAGTTTCTTGTCYTACCCCTTTCTATTTCTGTTCTTTCTAGAAGCATTGACTTTTACTTTTGGGTTGAATGCTTCTGGTGGATACATCAATATTTTAAAATATACTTGTGCCAGTTTTTTGTTATATTAACTTTGGATATTAACATAAGGTTTTAGTTTACCTTGGTGGATATTAGGTGAGGGTTTAGTTTACCACATCTACTATTGACCTCATCCTATCTCCAGCATATTGTATTTTTATTACAATTTTAAGCTATTCTGTTGTTTACTTTTGACACTCTTATATACTTAAAATTATATTTCTGTTGAACATAGAAAATCTCTTGAGTCTCTGTTTGATCGGGTGAGGCAATTAATACTCCCTCTTTTACATTTCTTAATCATTTCTCCAATTTCTGTCCAAATGAACTTGCAAATTAACATTGGTACTTCTATTCCATATTATAACCTTCCAAAGTCTATTTTACTTTTTTAYTATTGTTGAATGTAAAAACAGAACAATATTAGTAGCATTTGTTATACAGTATAACCAGGTACCTGTTCTTAACAGTAAAGGCAGGTCTATAGTGGTTAAGATTTTGTTCCCATGTGGCCAATAGAGTCTTTGAAAGTTTCTTGAAGGAGAGAGTGTTCAAATGGATTCTTTTTTTTTCTTAAAGTCTACTAATTGGTCATAAGGTCATAATAATTTAACTTTTTAGATGTGTTTTTGAGCAACACACACTTTCCTGACCTCTTAATTCCTTTTTAAGATTGGTGTTCTGTTAAAAAATTTTTTTTTCGTTTCACATTTAGACTGTTTTTCTTACACATCTACCCTTTTCCCCAACATTTCRATAGTTTTCTAGCCTCCCCACTTCTCATCTGCTTCTTGTTAAACCCTCAGTCTTACTATTCTACAGAATTCTTTTTTCCTATACACTGCTTTCTTGGAAATCTCCACTTTCCCAGTCCAATCTGGATTAGAAGCTCCTTAGACTGCCCAAACAACTTAGTTGAATTCAGTTTCACAACTCTCAGGTTGTATTTATTCTTTCTTGAATCTCATGTTTTATTCTTTCTAGA